AGAATTTACTGTATGTTTTGTGGGCAAAACGCGGCAGCCAATTGCGCACAGCAGTGTCCCCACAAACAGTCATGGATTGAAAGACCCAATTTTTTTTTTAGGGGATTATTACCCTCGGAAATGCGATCCACCAAATGACTAACAACCGGGTTCCTATTTACTGCTGGGTAAACAAGTGTGTGGAGTCAGGAAACTTGCCTAATGTTTCACCCGGGAATCAAACCCAGGTCGTCTCAATTGCTCTACATCAACAACAACAAAATTACATTTGCAAAGTGCCTTTCACGTTGGAAGGATGTCCCAAGGCACTGGACAGAGTTATGGACCCGGCAAGTGGGATGCAGGGAGATCGAAAGCATGGTCGAAGAGGAGGGTCTTGAGATGGGTCTTGAAGGTGGCAAGGGAGGGGGCGAGACGGAGGGACTGCGGAATGGAGTTCCAGAGGGCGAGGGCGGAGTGGTGGAAGCTCCGCCAATAGTGGGGCGAGCAAGGCGGGCGACGTGAAGCAGGCTGGAGCCCGCTGAACGAAGGGAGCAAGGAGGGTGGTAAGAGGTTAGGAAATCGCAGAGGTAGGGGCGACAAGACTGTGGAGGGCTTTGAAGGTGAGGACCAGGATCTTGAACTGCATCCTCTGTGCTCTAACCACTAAGCTACAGGACTATTCATAGTAGCCTATCTTTTGGTGCAGAGTCTGCTCACTTGGTGATGATTGACATCATCAGAATCTTCAGGACAGACTCTGGGAAATATTTTGTTACACAAAGGGTAATCAACAGCTGGAACGGATTGACTCCACCGGGTGAGACGGCTGGACAAGGGACTCTTCATGTACATGTTACATGTTTACTGGAATCGCTATTAATAAACTGGGTATTATTATAACAGATGGTCAAATGCCTGAGGATTGGTGGTCAGGTCTTTCAATTAGAGCACTGTGAGTTGTGTGCTTTCTGTGTACTGCAACATTAGTGTAGAAACCTTAAAGACATTTCATCGTGTTCTGGCTTATTTCCTGTCAGTGCTTTTCATTTGCTGATTTACTTGTGATTTGTTTTCGCTAAACTGAAATTTTACATTGTCTATGAGCTTGTGATCGTGTCTGTTGACGTAACCTCTGTGGTCAGATGCTTGGAGCATGACTTCAATAAATGTCAACTCCACTCGAGGAAAATAAATCTACTTGATTTCAATGCTTCTTTTTAATCTGGTTTTGTATATAAATGATGGGTTTCCTAAACTAAAGGGATTCTCACTTAAAATGGTAGATAGTTGTTTAATCTCTCAAGTAATGAACACTGTTGTCTTATTAGCACCTTTTCATATGAACTTTATTTGCTTTATGGACAGAGTAGTGTAGTTACTTGTGAGCAGTGGATAGCGAGTCAAGTTAAAACATTGTCTGAATTTCCTGAACTTGCCTTTGAATTTCTTTCTGCTATTAATCAGCCATTCTGCCCCCACTTTATGGAATCCATCCGAGTCCCTCTGATTTTCCCACTCATTTCCCTCTTTCCACCCACCTCAGACCTACCTCTTTAATCGGACTTTTGGTCATCTTTCCCGTCACCACCCCCTGGCTCGAGTGCATTGAGAGGCAATGTTGAAGCAAATTTGCCCTTCATGTAACTTGTGCAATTTCTGACATGAGAAGTTTGCTATTGACAGAGATGAAATGTCTTCAGATGCTCTTCACCTTAACCAAAACAAAGATCCATTAGGAAAATGAATCCTTGGCTATTACCATTTCTTCAGATAAATTGAGAATTTAAGAGCAAGCATAAAATTCCAACTTTTATTGCTGATTGTAAAGCAGAAATATTCTGTTGCCAGCTCCTTAAACTGACATCTTGATGAACACTCAGAAGGTGAGCAATTATTATATAATAATAAAAGCGTCAGGTGCAAAGTGCCGTCTGTTTCAATACTTGACTTAATGTTACGATCAATATGAAACTAAACATTTATTTTAACTTGTGTGAAACGTTTATCTGAAATGTTATTTTAATTAATCAATTAAAAAAATCAGGAAGGAATAATACTGGAGGCAAAGTGATGTGTTCTTATTTTTCTAGATGTCTGAAAATAAATTAATAACTGATTCTGAGATATGTCACCTAAATTCTGCCAACCGTGTACTCCATTGTAACTTATGTGTTGATGCATGAATCGTATTATAATGTCATTCGAATCTTGGTTTTGCAACTAGTAATGTACCAGTTCATAACATGATCTGCAGACCTTTCAGTTCGACCTGCTACCAGTCTGACCGTTGACCGCAAATAATACTTAATGCAAAAAGCCTTTGGTTGCCAAACATTCTGTCTCCTAGTAATTATGTGTGAAGGTGACTTTTGCATTTTGCAAACGGCTGCATGATGAAATACCCTGCCTGCACTCTGGTGTTGGTGTGCCTCATATCCACATTCAAACTGGCAAAAATTGCAAGAGAAAAGCTCTGGATTCATCTCAGCTTGAGTTAGCAAAGCCTTAAAGCACCTGATTATGATGTTTTGAAATGAGTTTGTTTGCCATGATCAGTCAACATCTCCATTATTATTGTAGCATGCGACTACCAGGACGGTAGAAGATGAACGAGATAGACCTTGGTCTTTTTCTTCTAGGATTTCCTGTTTCTATTTTGAGCTTCAATAATACATGAGCTGAAATCTTTGAATGATTGCTCCAGGGAGTGCAGAATTCCCTGGAAGTGTTGGCAGTGTTAAAGTTGATGGTTGTTGTGTTGTGTAATTACTGCACATTCTTGTATTATTTCCCAGTAATCAACTGTTGATACAACTCTTTCATACAAACGGTATTCTAATTTAATACATGCATTTTATCTCGATCTAATTTCTCTGTTAAATATTCAATCTTAGTAATACAGAACTCTCAATGGAGCTCCTTCACTAGTCTGAGATTGTTTTCTTACTGTGGAACCAAACACATCATCAACTAGCCACGTTTATAGTTCTTACATTGCGCATGAACTAAAGACCATCTTAATGCGAGGCTCTTTAGATATATCTAAATAGAATTTGTATTCAATCATTTGTAAACTGCAATAATTATCGTATTGTTTTGCATGCATTCAATTTTGAGCAAAGTGACTCATTTCTTTACATTCAATTTAAAGCTGGACAGTCCCAGATCTTATGCTTTTATTCAACAGTTGCGATGTAAACAATACTTTCCCTAAAATAGATGTCTAGTCGCTCCCCCCCACCCCCCCCACCATCTTGCTGTTATCACAACCAGATGTACTTTTGATCCTGCTGATTATCACTGTTTTTCACCCAGAAAATACGAGAGACATGGTTGAAAATATTTACCACTAGGTTTCTTGCCCTGGTGAAATCATGCTATTTCTGACACAGATGCACCAAACTCAGTTCCAACCTGACGTGCCACAGTTTCTGCTTTGTCTGCTTGTAATCTCTATAATTTGTTTCTGATTACTCTCTGATTACTTCTATTCTCTTTCTCATACTCTTCTAAACAGCTTCAGGATTGCTCTGCATCAATCTTCTTTCCCTCGATTCATGGGTCGCTGACAACTGTTCTTTGCTGATTTCTTTCTCACTCCACATTTTAAAGATTGACCAAGGCCATTTAAGATTGTTCTCTGAACTTCGCTGGGAAAAGCTGTTCACCACAGGTTCTCATCACCTCGGTTTCAGTGCAGTTCACAATCGATGTATCCACAAAAGATAAATTTATGTCTTTAAAAATACTGAGATTTATAAGGGTATTTAATAATATTAATAGTAATCCTTGCATTTAATATAGTGCCTTATCACATCACTGAGAACTTCTCAGAATAATAATTAGAATAATAATCCTTGGATTTAATAAAGGGCCTTATCACATCTTTAAGATGTCACAGAATATACTGTAGAACTAATTACTGTATTTGTGTCGGCAAATATAATAATAATAATCCTTGCATTTGATATAGTGCTTTTCATGTCTTCTAGACGTCTCAAAGCGCTTCACAGAATAGACTGTAAAGTGAATTGACCGTATATTTGTGGGCAAAACGCAGCAGCCAATTGCGCACAGCAGTTTCCCAGAAACAGTTGTGGATTGAAATGACCAATTTATTGTTGGTTTTTCTTCTTGAGGGATTATTATCAGGCGTGTGGAGTCAGGAAACTTGCCCAAGGTTTCGCCCTACTGGGAATCAAACCCGGGTCTCTCGCTTGCAAATCGAGTGCTGCAACCACTGAGCTACAGGACTCCACACAATTTGCATTTCATTAAGATTGGAATTTTAATTATCTGTGTAATGTTGTATGGCAATGTGAACCACTTAATAGTACAAGCTGCCTATTATTAACCTTTAGGAAAAAAGTGGGGAAAGAGGCAATGTGAAGTGGATTTATTACTACTAACAGCAGGTTAGGTCTGGTTACTGCTGCGGGAAACAGGAAGATCACACGAGTAGCAATATTGTGAGCATAAATCGTGACTATTCTTGTCACTTTGTTATTTCTGTCATATTTATAAAGGTGACAGATTGTAAAGTGAGCTCCAGAGTCTTAAATACGTATAGTTTAACACATAAATGGATAAACATCTTTCGGGGTATACGGTGCGTTTTCACATGTGGTAGTCTGAAAGCTTTGAAACAAGTGACAGCATCTCACAATTCTTCATAAATACTTTACACATCATCGCTGAAATGAATGCGCTTTCGCACGTCAACATTTTCTTTTGATCAGCTTGGTGTCCGACACACGCAGAAACCCATCACCATGCTTGAGAGAATTCCATGCATCCCACCTACACATGGAAATTCCAGAGATGGACCGTTGGAATGGAATGCGCACTCTCCCTCCCTCTCGCTCTCCCTGGAGGGATGCATCCTGCTTACCTCATTCGGGAAAGTATCAGGCGCAGGTTGGCAAGAGCCAAGCCTTGGAGGAGCCCTAGAGTGGGCGTCAACGTAAAATGGAGCCCTACAGACCTTTAAAATAATTAGCGAGATTTTATCACTCCAGTTATATCCGATCCCTTGTAATACTGGTGGGCAACGCATTGATAGTAACTTCCGTACTTTCAGTCTGATATCGTGGGCTTTCGGTTAACAGAACCCTCGTGTTTTTTTTCGTGGATCCGTGCCGCCCGCTGTTGTTACTTGACGTAACAGCGCTGCCTTTCGAGGTGAATTCTGCGGAACCCAGAGCCTTCTGTTGGCATCTCGGATAGTTACTGAAACATTCAAACGTGTCGGTGCACGTTTTGTAAGTGCTGTGACCGTCTTCCAATCCATTCGGCACTTTGGAGGAAGTTAAAGAGGACCGATTGCGAGCCGATGCCGGGGAGATGTCGCAGCACCTGCACGGCTCCCGGCAGAGCTTGTATAACTTTGCGATGTCCTTGCTGAGAAGCTTACGGAAGTTTGGCTTAAAAAGCAGATAGATGAGCGGATTGTACAGCGTGGATGATTTAGCAAAGGCAGCTGCTAGAGCAAAGGCCAGGGGCGGAACGCTCTCGGTGCTGCCAAACACTGCCCACATCGCTATGAAAGCATACGGCGTCCATGCTATCAGGAACCCGATGCACACGGCAACGCTCATCTGCAACGTAAATGAGAACAGATTGGAGATGTCCTATCGTTCGCAGCAGCAATGCTAAAGCTCTGAGTACATGGCATCTAATGAGACTGAATATTAACAATAATCATAATAGTCTTTTATTTGATACAGGGCCTTACCACGTCATCGAGACGTCTCAAAGCGCTTCACAGGATATACTGTCAAGCGAATTGACTATATATTTTCTGGGCGAAACGCAGCAGTCAATTGTGCACGGCAGTAATAATCAGTACACAGCATAAACAGTAAAATGTAGCCAACTTGGATTGTTTTCAGCAGTAAATTTTGGTGACAGGTGAAAAATAAACTGAAATTAATACCGGGTCCATAGATCTACAGACATAAATTCTATGGTTTTATTCTATATTCATCACACAAAATATAGTCAGTCCACTATACAATGTAGCCTGTGAAGTGCTTTGAAGCAGCTGAACGATGTGATAAAGCGCTATATCAAATCCAAGGATTATCATTATTATCGCATTTCTTTTCTGCTGAGTGGCTGTCCTTCCCCCCACCTCCGCCCCCCCACCCCCACTCAGTGATACAGAGCAACGACTAAACCAGTCAGGGGAATGTGAGCTCACATTCAAAGTTAAGCATTTAGAGACCAATGCAGCACATGGCACAACACCAACTAAAGTACAGGTAGCGAGTTTCAAGTTGACAACCGACATCCTTTATTAAACTGCGTTTAATCTGCTGCGAGGGAAGCCAATTTGCAGCCAACACTGCAGCAATGTTGAGCGGGAAAGACGAAAGACATTTACACTGTACATTTGGTGGCAAAGCATTGCCAAAAGCATGCCAATTTACTATCAACTTGCACAAGACTTAATTAAGAATAATCAGCAAACTCAACCTCGCATAACTACTGTATTATATTGCTTGATTTTACTTTGGAAATATTTCTAGAAATCAAACTACAGTAATTATGTTCCTGTATTTTTTTTAGCACATCAGTCAAAGAATTAACAAATAAAACGCAAAATACTGCAGATGCTGGAAATCTGAACCAAAAACAAAAATCGCTGGGAACCCTCAGCAGGTCAGGCAGCATCTATGGAGAAAGGAAAGTGAGTCAACGTTTCGAGTCCACGACCCTTCGTCAGAACTGAAGAATCAACTAAGCTGTTTTCAGGGTTTGTAGTGAACGGTTTTTAATTTAGGCCTCCAACTATTTAAAGATTAAGGATTTTATTCTTATTTTTTCCTGAAATATTTGGGTCGGGTTGCATTTATAAGAAACTCACTTCTTCCACATCCCCTTATTATGTTGGGCTGGGAGGCAGTGACAGAACAACATGTGCTTTTGTGACTTCACCGTCAGGGATGGTTCCTGTTAGCAGCCCGATAAACCGCACAGCTGAAAGCTGCGAGACTGACCACAAAGTCGTGACTTGGAGCCCCAAGATATCTGATAATCACACTTCCTGTCTCAGTTGGGCGAGTTTTATCAGTTTTCTGACAGTCTGTGTGATGCAAGACCATGCCACAAAAAGCCAGGCATTCAGTCTGGAGGGAGAAGAGAAACGTAACGTAATCCAACTTAACGCTCAGTGCCTTATGCCCCTGACGTGCCTCATCACAAAGCATTGCCAGTGGCAGTGAATTCCCATGACCCAGTATAGTTTTTCCTCTCCAGGCTGGTGAAGGATAGGTTGCAACAAGCAATTGGTGGAGAAAAATGAAGGAAGTGACACAGAAATTTAAACAGAAAGGCACTCAATTCCTAATCTCAGATTAGTTGCACTAATAAGTGCTCCGAGAGACTATCCTGTGTGAAGGGCAATATATAAATGCAAGTTGCTGTGCAGTGTAGTGTAAATAGTGTAGCCGTTAATCTGCTTTTGAAAGATTTCTTCTTCACCTGTCCACTTACCTTTACAATTAGACTGTGAATATTGCTGGTGTTGGTTTGTGCAGACATATGCTGTTGGACTGCTCTTCTTGATCCTTTTACAGTCAACAAGATGAGCGCATAGGATGCAATGATTATCACAGAAGGAAAGATGTAGCAAAACACAAAAAGCGCAATTATGTAGGACACTGCCTTGGATTCTGTATCAGCTGCTGCCCACTTTATGCAGCAAGCCGTCCCATATGGCTCAGGTCCATATTGACCCCACTCTGCCAAGGGCGAAATGGCAAATATAGAAGCGTAGCCCCATACGCACCCTATGAGCAACCGCGCATGTTCTGGGGTAAATCTGTTCCCTGTCGGAGAGGAAAAAACATATTGTAAATGACAATTATAATCGAGCTACGACACAAACTTCAGAACATCACGAGATAAAATGCGGGATATGAAACGGATAATCAGATAATGAAGCCCACTGCCCCAGATCACATGCAGTCTACCCAGTCATGGATTCTAATCAATCAAATTTACCTCCTGAATGAATGTGCTGCATAAATACTCCATGATACCCAAATGTTATCAAGAAAACCTCATGTTTATTAATCATTCTCCACATCTTTATTATTCAATGTGGGCCTCTTGGCTTCCACAGACACCCAACAGCACAGCAGCCATTGTGTTCCATAGAGTAACTGTTTTCAATCTATCACTGGCTCGATATGGAGTGGTTATGTGGTTTATTTTTAAAGAGGGTAATCAACACTACTGCAATTAATTTTTATTTGTACCACATTCCCATGGCAATGTGCCAGCAGTACAGAGGGAGCATCTCTTAATCTCTAACCCTGGCCTCAGGCCAGAGAACTTTAAACTGTTCTCCTCTGGTTTTGCGCACATGGTTTAAGTCATACTGTCTATGTCACTTGATCTACACAAATAAGGAGATAAAAAGTTCATTCATCTACAAAATACAGTTTTACTGCAATTTACAGAATATCCTGTGAAGCGCTTTCAGACTTCCTCCCCATTTGAAAAGTGTTAAATGAAATGTAAGGACTATTATAAATAAATTCTTAGTACAGTGAAATATTGGAAGGTTTAGTAAAAGTAGGGCAACACTTAAAACTAATTATAGAACGGTTTCTGGAACCCAGCTCCAAACTCCTACTCACTGCAAATATTTACATTGGTCATTCGTACAATTTACAAATATTTGTTCATGTAAGTATTCGGGAAGTGTATTTTTCTGAAGATGTTTATTATATCTGATGTTTTCTATTTTTNAAATATCTTACAGCTGTAAGCATGCTGTTTATAGTACGGTGTTAACTTATTGTCATTTAAGAGAGAAAGATGGTGATAGTAATATGGCACTTAATGCAGAAGGTCAAAAAGAGAAACAAGATTGCTCTGAGCACCTTTGCAGTTATTGCACACTGGCCATTTTGATTTGATGTATAACACCCAGAGATGAAATAGTTCAACCAATACAGCACATGATTCTCAAACCTACCATATGCAGGGAAACAGACCTTCATACAGCAGACGGTGCTCAACACTGTCAGATTAGTGAGACTGCAGATCCCAAACAACATACTACAGAAACCGTAGTACATACAGGCTTGCTGACCAAACAGCCACCTATAAGAGAGATGACTCTGCGTTAATTGTCATGGGCAACAAATTTAAAGCAACGGGGTCGACTTTTATTCAAACCTTATAGTGCAATGACCCTCCTCATCAACGGAGTCCCGTAACATAGTGGTTAGAGCACTTGCCTCGCAAGCGAGAGGACCTGGGTTCGATTCCCAGGCAGGGCAGGGCAAAACTTTAGACAAGTTTCCTTGCTCCACACACACACATGTCTCTGTTTACCAAGCAGTAAGTAGGAACCCGCTTGTTAATCGATCGACGGATCGCTTTCCAGGGTGTCATAACACCTCAAAAAAAAATTGGGTCACTCAATCCACCACTGTTTGTGGGACACTACTGTCCGCAATTGGCTGCCGCATTTCGCCCACAAAATACATAGTCACTACACTTTACAGTATATTCTGTGAAGCGCTTTGAGACGTCTCAAAGACGTGATAAGGCGTGAGATCAAATGCAAGGATTACTATTATTAGATGAAACTCTGTTGAATGCAATGAGAATATAAGCGAGCTAGTAACTAAATATTGGTCATTCACTTCATGGCTGTTTGTGGGACATTGCTGTGCTCAAATTGGCTATTGCTTTAACCTACAAAATACATAGTTTGCAGTACATCTTGTGAAGCCTTTTGAGATGTTCTATTATACAGAATGTCTTGAATAGAAGGACCGAGTGCCCAAAGAAACAAGCGAGGTAGTATGAAATTGAAGACAACTACTTTGAGTGTCTCTTAGCATTGTGACTCATCTGACCTTTGTGAACATTTTTGCAACCTCCCTTTTGTTGTTGATTTTGTTGTTATCTGGCCTCCTTTCCACTGTCCGTTCTCTTCTATTTCTATGCTTGATCTTGTTAAGTCTACATAGAGGCCCAATTCATAAACCTCGCTGATCTATCGACCTGCATTCTGCTGGATTTTCCCCACAGTCATGCACAAAATCTTCAGATAAAAATCTATAATTTTCTAGTGAAGAATGTGGAAAAATATTTTTGCTGAATAGCTAAGGTTTTATGCATTGGGACCTTAAGACAGTATTCCAATATGGGACTTGCTCTTTCACAAATTTTCCTCACAATTCATAAATTAACTGTGGAACATATACATACAGTGAGTATTTTCTAGTTTCTTAGAATGACACAGTCAAAGTATATGAATAATACACGATTCTATAATATCAAACAAAAAACTTGTGAAATAAGCCTCTGTTAGCAAGAATATTTTTGTTCAAGTCCTGACGTGGGATATCGTCATGTTCTTAAACCGTTTAAACCAACGTTACCAATAAAAGCGACAGGAAACCTCGTATTTAATTACATCCCTCATATCTGAAGAGGAAGCTGCTGGGACTATCATAAAATCAGATAAAATAATTGTGCGCAGTTTCCACCACTGGTACCACTTCACAGCCCAACAACAATAAGGATCATTACAAACACAAATAAAAACAGGAAATGTTTGGAAAAGGCGCATCACATCTTGACGTATTCAGAATAATGATTGATAAGATTTCATTTGCAAGTGCTGATTACCTGTGCGAAAAGTTTGATGATATGGCTAGCGGTAATAGTGTTACTGTCATCGAAATGTCACTGACGGCCAAGTTTGCAACAAAATATTCAGCAGGTTTGAGTATTTGTCTTTTCCTGTACGCTACAAACAAGAGAACACTGTTCCCAACCAATGATAGAATACCTGCAAAAAAAAAGTTATTCAAATTTATAAAGTTAGTGTAAAACTAATTTTGTTTAAAGCTGTGTCATTTCGAGCAAGCATGCTTTTGTTAACGTACTTGAACCCTTTTTATTTCAATGAAATATACCTTTTAAATGATGAGACTGGTGAGTTTAGTGTGCAGACTGTTAGTTTTTTTTCATTTACAGAGGCTCAGGTTGAAAACCCAACCGTGAATGTCAATCTGCAGTGTTTCTTTCCTATATTCCTTTCCATTGCTTAATTGTGTTGTCGAACGGAACTGGATAAATCCTTCACTGAAGGATGAAATCGTTAATCTGTCCATTACAGCACGACTGTTATTTTGGTCAGATCACCGGATATCTCATCCCATGATTAGGGAGCTTTGTCTCATCAGAAGAAAAAGTTTGTGAAGGAGCAGAAACTCCTATCACCCAAACATGGAGAAACACTTCATATTCTGGGGATCATGGTGTAACAGCTCTTTGAAGCCCAGGTGTTTTTCTGGCCATGATTGCTCTTGCAATGAACTCAACCATCCTGTTTTGAGGAGGCTCTGACCAGCAACAAACTACATCTCCATAAGAGAGGAGGTACAATTCACCCACCAAATATACAGTCAATTCACTTTACAATATATTCTGTGAAGTGCTTTGAGACGTCTCGAAGACGTGATAAGGCACTATATCAAATGCAAGGGTTATTATTTATTATTATTATTAAAAGACAGCTCCTAGTTGCTGAACACAGACCGAGGCCAGAGAGAAGATAACCTTCCTACCCCCTCAGACAATGTAGTTCATGCTGTTAGATTATGGTTTTGAGGCACAATTAATTACTTCAGGCCATTTTGTACTGTTATCCGGGATTTATATGAGCCAAGGTCAAATGAAAAGTGTCACATTTGTCTCGCAAATCACTGAAAGGCAGGAGATAATTTCCTGATGGAATAATAGACTTACTGTTCACCATTGTCCCGGATGAATTCATGTTTTTGTGCACAGTGGTAGATAATTTTCTTGACAAATAAGTCTTTTGTGAAATATCACAGATAGAAGACAAAATAATCTTAAATCATTTTGTTCAACAATAAAAATATAAAAACACATAGATTCATTTATCTTGTTTCAAAGCCTCTTTGTCCATATGCAAAGACGAACAAATCAATTGAACTTGAAATAATTGAGATGCATTCCAACGTAGAACACATTTTTTAAAAATTATTTAAAAATGTACATATTATGAAATGCCAGCTCCATCCTGTTGCATAATGTACAAATTGGCCCCGTGTTTTTATAACCTTGTTATCTACCTTGCAATATGTTGTGAGGAAGACTGTATTGAAACTTTGTTTTCTATTTGAATGTTAGGGTCTTCAAGTTGTTTGCCTCTCCTCAATTGATTCTAACCCTTCTATTTAAAGTGCTTGTCAACAATTGTGACCCTGGCATAAAAGGAGTCCTTGTGGAGTCCTGTAGCTCAGTGGTTAGAGCACTCGCTTTGCAAGCGGGAGACCTGAGTTCAATTTCAGGCAGAGGGCGAAACCTTGGGCAAGTTTCCTTACTCCACACAGAGCCTAATAATAATCCCTCCAAAACCAAAAACAATAATAAATTGGTCATTTTCACTCTACGACTGTTTGTGGGACATTGCTGTGCGCAATTGGCTGCCCCGTTCGCCCACAAATATACAGTCAATTCACTTTACACTGTGTTCTGTGAAGCGCTTTGGAACGTCCTCCCGACGTGAAAAGCGCTATATCAAATGCAAGGATTATTATTATAAAAGGTAATTAGGTTAGGTGGTCTGTTCACTTTACTGCAATTTAAATGCCTGCTGCTTAATACAGTTAAACATAAGGATCTATAGAAGGCTGCCTCTTCATTCATTTAGATACATTTATTGCCAGGGCATAAACAAGATTGTTAGCCTCGATCAATTCCACGTATGATTATTTAATAAGAGATAGCCAACTGCATCAGCAAAACATTCCCAACATTATCATTTAACTATAATGTTGGGAGTAAAACACCCATGAAGGCCATTCCAATCCAATCTTCGTTATGGAGTAAGAGCAGGGGAGAAGGGGTAAGAGTGAGGGGGTGAGACTAGTTGGTAGCTCTTTCAAAGAGCTGGTACAGGCACGCTGGGCAAAACAGCCTCCGTCTGTGCTGAAAGATTCTATGATTCTAAACCGTGGCAAGTTCTGCAGTATAAGCGGAGTTATTAGGGCCTGGATGAGTGCAAATTTTCTGCAGCTCAATGTGGACAAGATGGAAGCTATTCTCCTTGGCTCACGTCAACACCTTCACTTCTGCGGATCTGAACTCCTCAACCTCCCTGGGCTCTCCCTCACACTCACCAAATTGGTGCGCAATCTAGGCATCTGGTTTGAACCCCAGTTGTCCTTCCCCACATCTGGTCCCTGACCAGGACCACCTTCCTCCACCTCCATCACATTGCCCACCTCCAATGAACCTTACATGCATTTACACGTGGCTTTCAGCCACTACGCCCCGAAACTCTGAAACACTCTCCCTCAATCCTTCCACCTTGCCCCCTCCCCTTTTTCAAGTCCCACCTGAAAATCTCCCCCCACCCCACCCCCCCACCGCCTTTGGAAACATTCTAACAAGCCCCTGACTCTTTAAGACGCTTTATGGGAGAACATTATTCAGCTTTGCGCCAGTTGTATATTCTAACATGTACGGGTTAGCAACTGGCCCAATATTCTTTTATGCACTGGAAATAATGTAAGGCTAAATAATTCTGTATACCAGATGTTTTATTGATTAAAAAGAAAGGTTCGCTCCTCTATTATTTAAAATATCATTCAGAAAATTGTAAGAGATTGAAATTAGAGATACTGCATTAAGTCATGAATATTTCAAATGCAAATACGTCCTCTTAATTATAAATTAGCAGCCATTAAAACAGATTACAAAATCACGTATAATCACCTATTCTTTGGTTGTTATACACAAAATTAAAAGCAACTAGAATTCCCTCTGTACACATGCATTTACACATGGCTGACCCAATCCACATACTGTGCACATGGGTTGTTAACTCAGATACCAATTTTTGATCCCAATATAGTGAAGGGTGTTAGGTCAGGTTATTACTTCTTACCAAATAAGGTATAAATTATTCCAAACAGAATATCTTCCTCCTCCGAAATAGTTGACAGGAACATCCGAGTATTGACAGTTGCATTTTCCATCTACAGATAAAGCATGGATATTGTAAAAAAAAATCTCATGGGTTTTAAGCCCCTCAAGGTTACAGACTAAATGAATTTGACACAATATTAGTTCAGATGAAGAAGGTAATTCAGCCATTTTTACTTCATCCTTCCCAGAATACCCACCCTACCATCTTCCCATCAGAGCATCAAACTGTTTCTTAAATGTGTCCAGTGTCCTGGCCTCAAATATCCTTCCCGGTAACCTATTCCAGTTGTTAATTAACCCTCTGAGTAAGGAAATATTCCCTTGTGTCTGTCCTGAAATTGCCTTTGCAATTAGATACCTATCTGCGTCCTAGGTGTCCGAAAGTATCGTTCCTGGTTTACTTTCTCAACCCAATTGAAATAAAATGTTACAGAGTTCTGTAAGGTCCTCTCTGAAGAGCCCTAGCTTGTCCAATCTCTCATAGATCATTTCCCTGACAACGAGAATGATCCTCATTGTCAGAGGAATGATCTATGAGCAATTGGACAAGCTAGGGCTCTTCAGTCTTGAAAGGAGGTACCTAAGAGAGGACCTTATAGACAATGAAGATCATCCTCATTGCTCTCCTCCGCACTGTCTCTGGGGTCTGCATATCCTTATGTTGTGGCAATCAGAGTTATTTGTAGCACTGTTTGAGTATGACTTCTGTGGATCTGAACTCAAATGTTTTGAAAATATAGCATCCTCTTTGTCTTTATTCTTGCTGCCTCCCACTGTTTTGACACGGTGAGTGATGAATTAATCAACACCCCTCGATCTCTTTTAGCTTCTCCCTGGGCAAGGTCTATTCCCATCCATGGAGTACATGTGTTTTCTATTCTGCTTTCTATATGTCGGTGGCTTGCATTTACTTCTATTTCGCTTCATTCTCCCATTGTTATATCAAAGCAGGTTTTATTGTCGTGACTGCATTACACAAAACCACAGCCCGTTTCACACAAATTGGCAACGCATTGGGAAGGATTGTCATTCACTTTGATTTGAACATATACCCTATTTTGATGTATGTTACTCTAAATATACACATACACACACACACACACACAACAAAGGTTTAAACAATAAAGGCTTTGTAATACCTGGTTATTTCTGCTAATCATGAATTGCATGACCTACATTTCACTGATGTTGAAGCTCATGTCACTCAGCACACATATTTCTCAATTTTGCATTCATGCAGTAGGAAACATAACAACAGGACAAAACCAAGAGGGACTGTTTGTGGCTGAGAGTCCAGGAAGAACTGGGGAATTTATACGGAAGTTCTTATGGACAAGTGAACTCTTTCTCATAACTTAATGAATACTCCCATGACCCTAGTTCAGCAGGTATTGGCTTACTCAGGTATGGGTGGTTAATGACTGCATGAAAGAGTAGCGTTTCGCCAATGGCCATGGATGAACAAAATTTGCACAAGTAAGCCCAGTGGTATATGAAGCTATTCCAATGAAGCTTTGTGCAAACTTTACGCATTGATACAGAAATAGCTACAGCATTTTTTTTGTGGTTATATATATATATATATAGAAAGAACTGGCTAAAGTACTAGAAATGTTTTAGGCAATTCTCCAACGATAATCTTGAAGTGGACTGACACGCTGGTCAATGGCAGTTTCCCACCCTCGGCAATTCAATGTAATATTATTATTAATAATAATAATCCTTGTATTTGATATAGTGCTTTATCATGTTATTCATCACACGCTCCTCTATCTTCCTCTATGCCTCCACCTTGCCCCTTCCTTCCCCATCTTCAGGTCGCAGCTGAAGACCTTCCTCTTCAACCGTGCCTACGGTCATCATCCCCTCCGCAGGCTCGGCATCGTGCTCCGCCACTGTCAAGCACCCCGGAGTGCTACCTTGCGTGAGGGGCGCTATATCAATGCAAGTTATTGTTGTTGAGACGTCTCAAAGCGCTTCACAGGATACACTGTAAAGCAGATTGACTGTATATTTTGTGGGGTGCAACACAGCAGCCAATTGTGCAAAGCAGTGTCCCACAAACAGTCGTGGATCGAGTGACCACGTTCATTTTAATTTTTTTGAAGGGATTATTACCACCGGAAAGCAATCCACCAATCGACTAACAACCTCAATTGGGTTCCTGCTTACTGCGAGGTAAACAGAGGCTTGTATTCTAAAGAGATTCTGCCCTGTTCTAATCTACTGCTCGCCGTGCAATAAACTGGTAAAAAGATATTCTCAGAAATCTGTTTAGTTCATTTGAGAATGTTCACATGGAGATGGAGTACAGATGAGTTTACAATAATTGTTTGTCTACAGCTGCATATTCAGTCATGTTTGCTTCCAAAATGTTTTTATTTATTTTTGGGCTTGGGATGTGGATGAAGTGAACCCTAGTCACAATAATTACAATAATAATTTCTTTGAAGTACATTGAGTTGTTTTGAAACATAATGCACGTTGTTTCCATTATACTGTGGAAAAATGTGTTAAGTTGATACTTCTAGTCAAGTCGCTTTGAACCTCAGCTCCCACAGCGTGAATAATGGTGTGCTCTGCCTCTCGCTCAGTAAACATATGTTGCTTGTATTGAATCTTTAGTCGGCCTCGTGAAACTATTCTGCTGAAATCCAAGGGGGAATGGCTGTTCAGTCTGAAAGGGAGGTCTCCTTGGAGCTGACCTTGCTGCGAGTTAACGTGCTTTGCAATGGATGGACAGAATCTCGTCAATTTGGGTCCGTAGTATTCCAGGGCACAGACCAACCATCCTGGCTCATTGGCCGGGTTTGGAGGAGCATATCAGTCAGTGGGAGCAATGATTCTTCCTGCTTAGCTCCTGTTAAATCTCCAAGCCAAAGCCCTGGTAGGTCGGGTGGGTTCCAGTGGGAAGCTTGCAAGACAGTGCTTTGAATGGAAAGCTACTCAGTTTTAGCTGGTTAAACTTTTTGAAGCGCTAGGAATTCAGAAATAAAGACAACGAAAATTAAGAAAAGTACTGTTTTGTTGCTCCAAGTGAGGAACAATAGCAAGTCTGGTGTTGGTCAGGATTGCTCAAAGTTTCCTTAAGCGCAGAAAGAAACCAAGATATCAATATTAACAGCAGGCCAATTTGCTCAAGTTATTTGGATTAAGAACAGACCACCGCAAATAAAGTAGAGGATCAAACGCAAGGATTATTTAAGAGGAAACTTGAGAGGTATGAGGTAATGGAGGTGAATTGGAAGAAGGGATTTGGAAGGATGGACTCGTGGAGTCCTGTAGCTCAGTGGTTAGAGCAATCGTTTCGCAAGCGAGAGACCTGAGTTCAATTCCAGGCAGGTCAGGGCGAAACCTTGGGCAAGTTTCCTTACTCCACACACCTAATAATAATCCCTCCAAAACCCAAAACAATAACAAATTGGTCATTTTCAATCCACGACTGTTTGTGGGACATTGCTGTGCGCAATTGGCTGCCGCGTTTCACCCACAAATATACAGTCAATTCACTTTACAGTGTGTTCTGTGAAGCGCTTCGGGACGTCCTCCCGACATGAAACAGCGCTATATCAAATGCAAGGATTATTATTATTATTATCCTCGTGTGGAGTATAAACACTGGCAAGTACTATTTAAGTCAAACGGCCAGTTCCCTTGCTGTACAGTTCTATGTAACTCTACGTCAAGACTAAAATCAATAGCTTTAAGAACTTGCAATTGCAAGGCTGATTGGAGGGTAACAAGAAGACATGGCAAAGTATACCCAGACCTGCCTTTTCTGATCATTCTGTGGCTTGCTGCGTTTTCTGATACGAAAATATATTCATCCACCTCCTCTCCCCCACCACCACCACCACCACCACCAAACCTCAATCCCTTGTGTGATTGCATCCCTTTTGCTACAGTATTTTTTTTTTGTTTTTGCATTAAGAGAAATCAGTCAGTCCTGCAAAAGGATGGGCTCAATCGATCGATTACCTGCTTTCTCCAGCTCTGCTCCTACTCATTGCAGAAAATGCAAGCACCACACTTGCAGGTTGTCACAGCTGCTGAAGCCCCCCACACCCCCCTCCCACCCCCAAATAGCTTTGGACTGTCATCCAGAGCTGTTGCTGTGCGTTTTGCAAACCTTACATTGCATTCGAAATGAATGGCACAATCTATGATCAGAGTGTGCACTCACAAGTTTGCTCGACAGTTTTGGTCACATCTGGCAGGCAATGATTTATTCTGGGGGGGGGTATTTAAAGGGTAACTGAGATTTTCTAGCAGTCCTTTCCTTTCCAAAATACAGTGTTAAAGATTCCCAACCACTGTCTCTCTCTCTCTCTCTCTCTCTCCCCCTTTTAACACACACCTCACCTTCCCTGGACTCACAGCTCACAACTCAGGTTCAGACTTGACATTGACTAAATAAGTAAATCAGTAAGTAAAAAAATAGATAAATAAATAGATAGATGAATAGATGTTCAACAACCACATAAAAACGAGAGGGAGGGGGGGGGGAGAGACAGACAACACACGATGCAAACAGAGAGATAACAGACACTCAATATATTAACAGAACGTGTTGATCCACAACAGGCAAAAAAAAAAATGAAAACCACAGGAGAAATAAAAAGTTGGTTGGATCAAGTTTACCTTTCGTGGAGAGGTTCTCCCTGCTTGAAATAACTCATGGAGAGGACGCTGTTGCCTGCAAAAAAAAAATCACTGGGAGTCCCAGATGTGATGCAGCAAACGTTTGACCACAGCCCCAAAGCTTTTGCTTTTTGGTGACAAAAAAATACATTCACTGACATCCACTGACCATCGCGCAAAAGGTTCTGGTCTGACAGTGGAATCTCTGTGGCATCAGTGAGTGAGCCACAGAGTGAGTGAAATGAATGAAGTGAAGGAATTGAATATGATAATAGTTATAATAATAATGTTGGATCCCCTCCACAACAAACTGGGGATGGGATGGAGGGTGTGTGTGTGTGTGTGTGGGTGGGTGGGTGGGGGGTAAAGCCATGATTTTATAGATGTGTTTATCCCGAGATAATTATCC